CTAAGTCGTCATCACAAATCTTCGTTGATTGATTGATTTCTGGGGTTTAACGTCCCAAAACCACCATATGATTATAAGAGACGTCGTAGTGGAGGGCTTCGGAAATTTCGACCACCTGGGGTTCTTTAAGGTGCACCCAAATCTGAGCACACGGGCCTACAACATTTCCGCCTCCATTGGAAATGCAGTCGCCGCAGCCATCACAAATCTTCGTTTCTTCGAAGAAGTGTTGCAGCACCTTCATTGCTTTGCCATTTGTTTTGGATGGCCATGGACCTAGTATGTTATTCAATGCAAATGGCCACTCGGGATCTAACTTATGGAGTTCCTGTTCTAGTCGCCTTTAATGTTTCAGACAGTCGAGCAAGAGGTGACAGATATCCTCGTCGTCGTGGCCACATGACCATGCTGAGGATGTTGCAAGCTGAATACGAAGTAGGAAGTGCTTTGTGTAAGCAGTGCTGAGTCGTAGGCTATGTATGAGTGAGTCGATACGTCTTGGGAGGTCACGGTCTAACGCACTTTTCAAGTGCACCATCATAAGACCATAGTGCTTGTGAAACACCATGAACATCAGGGGGGAAGTGTATCAAAAATCACAGTGCTTACAAGTACAAAAATCACAATGCAAATCGGCAGCAAAAATAGCTGTTAATATCATTACTACATGTACACTAGGCTTGTGCGCATAGTAAATTTTAAGTGCATAGAGAATGGTGATTCGGTTCAAATCATTTCAAATCGAATTTTAATAGTCAATTTTGTATATTGGTTCCCCATCGTAACGCCAAAAATGAGTAGGCCGGGTGTAGGAACGCTGAAAAACTGAAATGTCGAAAAATCGAAATGCCTAAAAAACTAAATGCCAGAAAATCGAAATGCTGGATAAGCATAGCGTCGAAAAGCACTAAAACTTTTGTCCATACGGAGGGAAATTGACAGTCGAAGACACAAAGTGGTGTGCTCTCAGAAGGCAAAAGCTGACCGTATCTGCAGAGACCGCTATGTTTATGTTTTTGACAACAAAGCAGGTCCTAGACAATACCTGAGGTGTCAAAAGCGAAGAGAATGCAACGCAAGAGTGATTACGGACCTTCCTATAAAAATCTGAAAAATCTGCCATAGTGCTCTCAAATACAGTGATCCACGCAATCCATGCCCTTTCAGATCATCACTTCCTTGAAAAGGAAGCAAACTAAGCTAGCAAACACTTTGCATAGTTTCTTTTTTGAAAGCTTTAACCATATGCAAAGCGTTCTCCCGAACGAGTTCGAAAGCGTGTACACATCGTACAAGGCTAGTGGAACTTTTATCTTGGCAAGACTCTATATTTTCCACTAAAGCAATCGTGATGCTGGAATTTTGACGTTTCGGCATTCCGAAGTTTTGGTGTTTTGGTTTTTCGTCAATTTAACTTTTTTTTATAATTTTCGTCATATTTCTCACGACCCAACTAACCTGCAGAATACTTTTCTAAAAATTGAAACAAGGCACGCACAAATGTCATTCTTTTTGGTTAAAAGGAAGTGGAAACAAAATTCAATATCATGGTAGCAGGATTTCACATTAAGTAAAATGTAAATAATAGCCTATATTACATTTTAAGATTTTTTTTTATTGAACGTTTATTATCATTTGTCACATGAGGTTTACAAACACTGATTGGACCCATAGCCTGAGGCTAGTGTAGGGTCCAATGAGAAAAGTAATGGACAGAAGCGGGAAATATCAATTACACATAATACATATGTAGCTATACAGACACTGTAAATATACACATATACAGAGTAGAGAAGTCTTTCTCTTCTTAAACAATCTGGTCACACCAAACAAAACTGCATGTGCGCATACAAAAAGTTATGACAGATAACTTCGTGGACACACCCAAAAAACATCAGTTAAAATACATAAAGAACATCAAACTATCACAAGTTTTAGTTAGAAGGAAAAAAATGCTAGGTTTACAAGATTCACCAGCGTATATTTATACAAATGTAAGTGCTTACCACCAAAGAGAAAAAGAAGTATTTACAGCTTGCTCAAGAATTGATTCTTTAGTTTTACCGCAGCATTGTGTGATGTCTTCAATTCAATGGGCAAACTATTCCAGATCTTTATCCCTGTGAATTGCATTAATCTCTCACCATAAACGTTATTTCTTGGCGCCAAGTTAAAGTTACCGAACATCAGGCTTCTAGTAGGGCGGGAAGAGGAATAAAATAACGAGACATCAAATGGGCTATTGTATTTTACGATACTGTTAACACAAACGGTCATTTTATAGTCACGCAAAAGATCGAGGGGTAGTATTTTTAGCAATCGGAATAACGGCCGGCTTGGCTCGTTGTACTTACTGTGAGTTATTATTCTTATAGCACACTTTTGTAGCCTTCGAAGGGGATTTTTTAGTATACTTAGAGCCATTTAGTATACTTAGAGCACATAAGCTGACATAACAAGGCTTTAAAATAAAAAATTGGCAGATTCCACGTACAGTGGGAATCGATGATATGCAAAGCACGAATCAGGAAGGTTGATATGTCACTTTAAGATCAGCCCAATGTTACGAGGCGTACGCAAATTGTGCCGTACACGACTCCCATATCATTATTATGTTTCCGCCTTGCATTTGTGTTCGTGCTCACTTCACGTCACATAATACCAAATTTGGTATATGTGATGCTAGCGAAACGGCCGCGAGCGTGCTATGAGCGTAGCATGCAGTCATGTTTTGTATGACAGCATGTCATGATTATCATGTTTGGACGTGTCATGTACCTACATCATCTATTCACGTCACGTGATACCTAACTTGGTATATGTGGAGCTAGCAAAACGGTCGCGAGCGCACTGAGCGTAGCATAGTCATGTTTTACATAACACGGATGCCATGATTATCATGTTTGGACGTCGTCCATTCGCGTCACGTAATACCAAATTTGGTATATGTAAAGCTAGCGAAACGGTCCGTGAGCGCATCATGAGCGTGATGTGTTGTTATAGTCCTTACATGACACGCATGTCAAGATTATCATGTTTGGACGTGTCCTTTCTCTTAGACGTTCATTCGCGTCACGTAATACCAAATTTGGTATATGTTAAGCTAGTGAAACAGGCCGTGAGCGCATCATGAGCGTGCCATGCATACATGCTCTTACATGACACGCATCTGCCCCGCCGAGGTAGTCCCGTGGCTATGGTATTCGGCTGCTGACCCGCAGGTCGCAGAATCAAATCCCGGTTGCGGCGGCTGCATTTTCAAAAAGGCAAAACTGCTGTAGGCCAGTGGGCTCAGATGTGGGTGCTCGTTAAAAAACCCCTGCTGGTCGAAATTTTCGGATCCCTCCACTTCGGCGTCTCTCATAATCATATAGTGATTTTGGGACGTTAAACCCCGCATATCAATTACTCACGTGCATCTCATTATCATCATGTTTACACCATCATATACCTTTATCACCCATTCAAGTCCCGTAACACCAAATTTGGTATATGTGAAGCCAGCGAAACGACCACCAGCGCACCATTAGCGTGGTGTGAAGTCACATGACATGCATATCACGATTTCTACGTTAGGGTCTGTCACTTATGTATGCCATGCACTCATGTCACACCATACCAGTTTTGAAATATGTCGTGTGAACGAAACCACCGCAAGAGCAACAAGACCATGAAATGTAAATCACGACATTCATGACATACATGTCATGATTTTCATGTTATGACTAGTCAGTTATGCTCGTCATACCGTCATATTATTCCATACCAATTTTGGTATCGATACCATTATCAAAACGGCCAGGAGAGCTAAAGGTTGTAGGCGGCTAGATAGATAGATAGATACACTCAAAGTCACCAAAGTTCACTATTAAATGCTACACAATAAAAAAAAAAGGACGAATTGATGCGAGGGTAATATCGTCATTGAACCTTGAAGTGAGGATTTGCGGCAGTGTGAGTGTGACTGTTTTCTGGAAAGGTGTTCTCATGGCATAGCACTCCTGCAAAGCAGTGAAACCACCTTTGATATCCACCAACTTGTTTGTTTGGAATACATCGAAATTTTCAGTAATTTCAATTCAAATCGCAGTGAACTCGAATACTGTAATATTCATTTGAATATTTGCAGAAGCCTTATATACACATCACAACCAATACTACCGATCTTCTATTACAACCCACATTAAAAATCATGAAAAACACTGCAAGAAATAAGTAATCTACAGACTGGTACCAATGCTGCCAAAGGGATGATGACCATGCTGTTGAAAGCCAAACCTATTCAGCATTCAAAAAGACAACATAAGTGACCCCCCCCCCACTGCCGACCATGAGTTCTAAGGGAAATGCACAGTTTGTGAGGCTCTTTCGAACTTTTTGTAGTTGTTGACATGGTAAAGCATTAGCATTAGAAGCCTCACTCGAGCACACAAGCAGGGGAAAACTGTGCTTTACGTATCCGTCAGCAATGTGTGAAGAAAAAAGCGGGCGAATGGTGGAAATTAACAAATAGTGAAATATAATGTAACAAAATCTTGATTAACGCAAAAGAAGTTTAGAAAATAAAAAGTTACAGTTTCAACAACATCCGAACCAATGACTGCTACGGTTTTACAGGCCCTACCATGTCGACATCATTATTGTGCCTGGGGCTGCTGTGATTTTCGCCATGATTTGCAGCTTCGTAGTCCAACTTACTAACACACTGTTAAAATTTGGAATTATGCTGACAGATCCAAAGTTACTTGACTAATAAGAAATGCTTAATTTCAAAATTTTTTAACCACCTGTACCCTACTGCAGTTGTCGCATGTTTTGTGCAGCTCACGTAAGGGCAAGTTAATCATATGAAAATAACATGTACAGTAATTAGAGCTGTTACAAATAATTAAGGAATGCCACTAAAAAAATTGCACAACGACATACCAAGCAAGTAAATTTTTAGCCACAAGTTAGGGCGCACTTCACACAGCACACATAATAGATTAGAAGCTTCTTACGGGTGATAGCTCAAAATCAGGGCGCAAGAACGTGTCCATCTGGCTCCCGAAGGGGATGATTTCGAACTCTGGATGCGTGCTGCGACATCACGGGACTTCTTCGGCTCTAAGAACAGGAAAATGAGAATAAAACTACAAACCACAAGAACAATGCTCAAACACTTTTACTTTCATTGAGCTTTTTTCAGCAACTCAAACAGAACCGCTTCACTGGGATATGCATCAGACATGCACAATACAAAGCAAGTACTGTTCAAAGTGGCACTGCCAGGGTTCCAGAAACGTTCCTTCGCCTAGCGTAATATCCCTGAAGAACTCGTTAGTGCTATAGTCAGTTAGTCTGGTTAATGCACATCAAGTGGAACTGTAAACAGTATTTCCCAAGTGTGCGTGTGATTGCAGTCTAATAGTTCCCTTAAGCCAGGCTACGTTCGAAAAGCAGGTGTGCTGCAACCATAGCTTGTAGCTTGCACCCTCTCTCCCTTCAGTGCAGGAAGATGTTGTACTGTTGTCCCTGCTCCAATATTCCTCCAATTCATTGCTCTGCAGCGATGATAAACTGCAGAAGAATAGTATACTAACGCATGATAACAAAGATGACAGAAAGAATGCCGATTTTCAAACTGAAGCTTTTTATTCGATGTTACGATATAAACATTAGAATGATAAAGATGGTTAAATGCATCTTCTTTTTTTTTGCAAGGAGCTGCATCTCTGCACGTGTGATTAGCCGCTAGTAATTTCCACGATCGTGGACGAGCACATTCTTTCAAAGAATATTTAGTCCTTCTGATACACCATGACTGGCGCACACGTGAAATTGGACAGGCTTACAACATCGGGAATGAGCGCACATATGTCAGCCAAGCTTCAGTTTCCTTGCAGAATGACCAGATTTTCCACAATAATAGGGTGTTTGTTATATACCTGATGCATACATCTGCTGTTTTATGTTTAGTATACGGTTCGTTCTTAGACTACTAGAAACTTCTAATGAAAGACAAGCGCTTGCCCTGTCCTCCTTTTGTCATCTTTGCGACTTCGTGCTATCCTTAACAACACACTAAAGATGAACTTTCCAGCAAAACCGTCTCTTAAGAACAACATTTTGAAATGTGGGTGTTAGATAAGTTTCGTTACAGGCAGTGCCTGTTCTGATTCATGAAGTCATCGTAGACTAGTGGTTCTCATAAGCACAGCACACTCACCAAGAGTTGTCAGACGAATTTTTCCCGGTAGAGGTGGGTCCCCGTTGTTGACGTCTACGCTTTCTGACGGTTGTGCAGCTGAAGCAGGAATGTGGTTTACAGCCTGCAGCAGTTGAACCAATTCAAGTTTTACTTGCAACACATACAAGTAGAAGGTTGAGGTCCACCTCGGCGAGAATGTGGCAACATGAGCAGCGCACACAGTGCACAACACAAAGCTTTTCATTGTGGTGGTTTAATTAACACAGTGGATCCTCATTTATACGTTTCCAAAGAAAAAAGCACAGAAAATAAATCTACGATCCGAAAAAACCTACAATACGAATCAGGTCAATTTAAATTTCGTGACTGTGAGCATAGAAGCCAGGAAACCGCATTAAGCAGCGACGTGTCAACGAAGTTCTACTGTACAACACGCAGTTCTCTGCATATAAATAAATCCAGCCACACTTTCTCATAGTACTCTGTTACTCCTTTCAGAGACATTATTTTACAACTCGCACAATGGTTTCATTACTAGACTGTGTGATTATAGGCAGCCAAGTTCGTTTATACTTAAGATAATTCTGCCACTTATGACATTGCAAATGCAATAAAATGGTGCACTTATTATTCTTTTAGTAGCATCAGTTACGAAATCTGCACCGATTATAACCACACTAGGCCAAACCTTTTGCAGTGCAGTCCACTTATAAGGATACCACTTATCATGACCCATTGGTTATAATGATAGGTTAAGTTACCAGAGTCACTTTATGAATTAGGGCAACAGAGAAAAAAACAACACATATAGCGATACTTTACTCACCGCATACCCAATTTAACAATCAAAATTTTTCTATCTGGATGACAATTAGTTTTTCATGCAGCATAATGCATAAAGCAGTAGAATCAACTGACATAAACAGCCTGTGGAAAAAGAACACTACCGGCTATGACAGAGGCAGAGCGCTAGAAAAGCTTTTGACATAAGACAGTACTGCCCCATTCTGAGCAGAGCTATACATCCCCTTTGGGAAAGTTCAGCGATCTTTTAATGTCGCTGCCAGCCTAGAGACTGCTGGACTAGTTTGGAAACACCGTGTTTACGCCTCACTGACTCCAACTTGTGCCGAGAATTTCTCACGGTGCTGCACACGTGGGATCACTGTCAGCCGTTGTGCTCCCTTAGTGATCGACCAGCTGCATCTTAGCCACTATTCAGTGTGCATGTTGGCCGTGCAGAACATTGTGCACTCGCAAAGATATTGCAATGGGAGCTTACAGGTGTGGTGGGCATCCCAGAGATGTTCCAGAGCCCGATAGGCATTCCAGAAGTACGCTAGCCAGAGAAAGGAGCACTAGACTGCCCGCTAACGTGAGTTTAGGGCCCCCTAGCACTAAAATGGTGGACAGTTCTACCACTAGATTTGGCCCTGCCCCTCCGGCAAACTCTCTGAAGAGATATACAGCTCCGATTCTGTGATGAGAATATTGACGAGGCAATCGTCAAGGAATGTGTTTTTTTCAAAAGATGGCAATAGATAAGTTTGGGGCACGCGAAGGATGGCGCCCGCCGAAAAGGGAGGTTAATGAAAAGAGGCTGCACAGGCGCGGACTAAGCCCTTCACCTCTAAACACCGTGAGCGTTTGTTCACCGCACTTTATGCTGGCAAGTCACCCGCACGGCGGAAGCGTTTCACGGAGAGCCAGACTGAGAAATAAGTAGCCCTGTCGCGACACCGCTCCCGAAAATATGCCACAATACGTGTGGATAGACTGCAGCATCATGTCTAATAATTCCAGACGGCCAACCGGCTGTCTAGCCAGGCTTGTTGTCTCACGAAAGTATTTTTTAAGCTGTATGTTTACGAAATTGTAGAGTTTTTTAGCTGATTTCTTGGAGGATGAGGAAAGCAAAGTGTGGGAACGCAGAGGCGGAGACACGTCTCTGAGGAAAGGAGAGTTGTTTGCTGCATTGGTGGAGCATCGAGAAGGGGTTCGTCCCACGAGGCGATCTCAAATGCGACGGGAGGTATTTAATAGAGTGAAATGGAGAGGAGTGAAGCTTGGTGCTCGAGAACGAGATCGGGAAGCGGGGACAGAGGTCGTGCTTGGCACAGACTTTGACCCAAGGTTGATACTACATTGAGAAGTTGGCGTAGGTGTGGGGAGTATACAAAGGGCTCGGCAAGTAACGCCGACGTTAATACAGCCCAGTGCTTACTGTGCGGTCGGTATAGTGGCCGCCCCGGCCTTTGTTTCTAAATAAGTGTCCGTGTGTAAATAAACTGAAGTTTATCAGGAAGTGAGCAACCGGGCCTGTCCAGTTCTTCAACATGTCGTCGTGACTATCTGAACCATCGGGAAGAAATCCATCTTCCCAATCTTAACTGTAATGTGGTGCAATGGGGGCAATTGCAGCCGGAACAGTGAGAGCGAGATTGGCAGTGCCTCCGGTGCCTTTTCTCAGACTCCAGCCTCAATTTCCACACAATGCGCACTGTTGTTTACCGACTTGTCAGCTGACCTTTATTCACTCAAAAAATATTGCTGCCAGTGTTCACACAGAAGCTCAAAGCGATTCACGGCACAGTTATGAGATTGAAGCAGCTGCAAAAGCATTTCATACACTTAACACTATTTTTCATTTTCCTCGAAATCGTTATAAATGGACACCACTGTGTATGTAGTGCCGCCACCTTTAGTATTATAAGCTTACTATTGTGAAGCTGCTTACCGATTCTGAGTCATCAGCCAAAACTGTGTAGATGCGAGAGATATCATGGAACCCATGGCCCATAATGCCATCAGCTGTGTGGCCAAGACCGAACGTGTGGCCTAATTCATGTAGCACACCGCCCAAAGAGCTGGAGTAACATGCCGAAAGCGTGCCCCTGAATAGTAAAAGAGAAGATGAGCAAGCTACACTTTAGTACTAAGTTTATGAAAAACATTTTTCCATTTCATCATTTTAAAAAAATCTTTTTTAGAATGATTATGACATAATTCTGTTCAATGTAAGGGTTTGGTCTGGTCACTGAGTCATCCTAAACTATGCATGCTGTGCCAGCTAGACATAGATGAAGGAAGAAATGAAGGCTCACGCCGCTCTCTCAACACTTTCGGCTCTTCTCACTTACTGATTTTTTCATATAACATGCGCAACAGGACCGGCAGAAGCTACCTACCCCGAAGTTGTGACTGTTCTCAGTTTTGATCTCCACCTTTTAAAAAAATTTTCACCGCCACCTGTCTCTGCCTGCTATCACAACACTGGACCTTCCTTTGCTACTTGCTCCTTTCATTTCTCATTCCCTCCTTCATAGTTAAAAAAAATTGTTTTAAGGAATAACCATGTTTTTTACCATCATTTGTGTGCAAGTTTACTATTTTCATTCTCCTCCGCCAGTCAGGGCAACTGAAAGTGGGCTAGACTTACGGCGTATGCTGCCAAGGAAAACAGCCTCTATCCTGATAAAAATAGGTCCTTTTGATGAAACAACTGTTGCAGCAACATTCCTTTTACTGTGACTTGTCACTAGAGGAAACACCATACAAATGCATTTCTCTTAAAGTTTCTTCACGCATATCCACAATGACTTCTTTACAGGGACACACCTTGTATATGTATATGCATTCCATATTTCTTTATATTATTACATTACTTTTTGAAAATATGGCATGTCAGACCCAATATGAGAAGGAGACCAAGATGCCGTACAATCTCTCACCACATAAATGGCCGCATAAATGGCTGTCTAGGATGTTGATGATGAAAGGCAATCAGGTTCTTTTTTTTTTACTTCTTTAAGCCACTTTGTGCACAGTGTGGCAAATTCCTAATCATTGTCGCCCCTGCCGCGGTGGTTTAGTGGCTAAGGTACTCGGCTGCTGACCCGCAGGTCGCGGGTTCGAATCCCAACTGCGGCGGCTGCATTTCCGATGGAGGCTGAAATGTAGTAGGCCCGTGTGCTCAGATTTTGGTGCACGTTAAAGAACCCCAGGTAGTCGAAATTTCCAGAGCCCTCCACTACGGCGTCTCTCATAATCATGTGGTGGTTTTGGGACAGGTAAACACCACATATCAATCAATTAATCATTGTCAGCTGGCATGTTTGTTCCCTCAGCTAAAGTAGCAAGCCACCTTTTCAAGGAATAACATTTTTTAAATCTCGCAACAAAATCTTTTTCACAAGTGCAGCACAGACCAGTTCAATACAAAAGACCTGCATATTACAGCACAAGTACGACAACTAATAGCCTATATGCTTTTTCTGGCCTAATTGTGCGTTGGATTCATTCCTAGAGCAGAGTGAGATTTGCACAAACCACTTTTCGTACTGAATGCAACGTGGGAAAGCCAGAATTATTTACCTGTAGTTGCTGTCGTCCATAAAACGTAGGTGATCCACCCGCCTCGTGTCGTACAACCTCCAAGAGAGCTCGTCGGCATTCTGAGCCCAAGTGTAGAGGCAACCCGTTCCGCACAAGGCCAGTCCTCCAGCGCCAACCATAACGTGACCCGACACTCGTTTCATAACCTCACCGTGCGTCGTCGGCCTGACACCATCACCTTGATAGCGCGTCCAGGACAGAAATGCCACAAACTTGCAGCGATCCCCATCTCTCAGTTTCGAATTCATCAGCTCTGTTGCTACGTAGTTCCAGATGTCCTCGCTCGTCATCGCACAGGCCTCACCATAACTGAAGCTCACTTTCAAAGACGTGAACCACAGCCTTTCCTTCTTCTGTGCACTCGAGACAAAACGACTTGTTACCGATGCCACTTGCAGCTAGTGTTTCAGTCATTGCCATTTGTAGAATTTGCATTCCCAAGCCGATACGATTGCAAGCACTCTCGATTGAAGCAGTTTTCTTCCTCGGGCCCTTGGAAGCTACCAGTTTTGCGGTGCATCGGAACACGTGACTGTAAACAAGCCGGACATATTTGCACTGATTGTGGAGCACTGGCTCAAATAACAAAGTGAAAGTTTGACAATCTCTGTCATGTTTCAAAACAAGGTCATTTCTCCCACGTACAAGCTGGAACAATCACTTTGAATGCTCCAGTATGCAGTCGGCCATGGCGTGAAGTGGTCAGGGCATAAGCCGGAGAGGTTTGCTACAAACACCGAGGCTGTGGAGCAGTCACTTCTGCACACACCACTCAGTAGCACCAACGGGTAGTGGACAATGCTACCAGGCTTGTGATTTGTGACCCAAAATGCCATTTTCGTAAGTAGCAATGTTAGAAGTAGCCACAAGCATGGCTATCTGTACGTGCTCTGGTGCTAGACAAATGAAATCGAGCTAAATAAATGGAAAGTGAGAAAGCCTAGTTTTGTTTATTGAACCTATCTATGTACTGTACCTACGATGTAGTGGAATAGTAAGCAGTGTCGGGTGTCATGAGATGCAGCAGGAACTATTCCCTTCTTGTTCTTTTTTTGCGGTTGCAGCAATGTAACTCTGCTCGAATTTCTTGGCCATCCATTCGGGCACGGGTGCATTCCAGTCCTTGGGAGGCTCAGACCTCAGCTGCCAGACGTCATTGTCTCGACTGGCTTTTAGGCGGTCGTGCTTCCTCTTCTCCTCGCTCTTCACCACGGCATTCTGTTCACAAAAAGAATGAAAGATGAGATAGCACCACAGGCACGAATGCAATAGTTGAAAGCATTACCAATGGTAAAGATTATTCATAGCTTTCCATAGAGTGAAGAATCATTCATGTGATGCACCCCCACAACTACTCGCTAGCTCTACAATATGACTGTCTGACACCAACTAGCTTTAATAACACTCTGCACTTCGCCAAGGTGTTTACTTGCGTCTCTCATAATCAATCATATGGTGGTTTTTGGATGTTAAATCCCACATGTCGATCAATTAAGCTGTTTACTTGGTTCTAAGATACATAATCTGATTCTGTAGTAATCTTATTACCTCGCAGCACCATTTATAAAAAGAACTTGAATAGACTAATGCCAATTAAAATCACAATATCCTTTATTACATATGCAAGTATTCCTGTGGTTTGCATTATAAATGATTCCTAGAAAATATCTTCAGTTCATATATTTTACCATTGGAATTTCATTTCAGGCAACTGAGACCAATTGGGATACCTTTAGCAACATTCCTGTTTCGCAGCAAGTGTTTAAGATGCGTTGTATTGTTCAGTAGGGCCCGTAATACTTTTCAAACGCTTGTTACATCAAATACTCCGATGCTCTAAGATGCCAGAATTGTCATGTACTAAAATTATGAATATTTTATATGCTGGTTTGTCACTCGCGAGGCATTCTTCATTTACATCTAACTGGTGAATTGAACTGAGGGGCTCATTACCGGGCACCAATACTTAACGCACTTTTATAAATAGCTAGCTTAACTCATAAAATGAATGTGCAATCAGATCACTCATAAAGAAATTACTACCATACTTACAAGCGCATCTACGTCCTTGTTTTTCCTCCAGATGAGGCAGTTGTCGAAGTCTTTGCGCCACTGACTGCAGTCTAGCGTGGTTCCATCGATGAAGTACTGGTGGAAGCGCCCCCTAATACCTTCAGGAAAAGAAAATCGCGCGGTCCTTCAACGCACGTACTAAACTAACAAAAAAAAAAACAACGCCTGAAAGCGAGCGCACGAAAATGAACATACTTTTGCAGTCCGAAAGCTCTTCGCTGTACCACTCGCATGGTCTCACCTACGAAGCAACAGAAATGGTGACACCTCTATGAACGGCAGTGCCATAAAATGGGTGTGGTGCGCTGAAACAATCACTTACGATTGCTCTATCAAAGTTTACAAGAGAAGAAGAGAACTTCAAATAGGCGCGACCACCTCACACAGATGGTCAGTGGTGTTGGACGTATCTTTCGTGTCACGGGACGAATGTTACGCTGCGCGTGCAGTGAAACATGTGCCTCGCAAGCGGTCAGTGGGGTCGCGTGGCGAGACACCAGTACTCGGGAGTCTTGTGGAAAGATTACCGCCCTCGCATAGAAGTAACGCATTTTCGCAGCTTCAAGTGCAGTCCAGCGTTATGCCCTACTCACCATCCAGGCGTTACGGGGGATGCCTTCGACATTTTTCGGTACTACATTCGCAGTTTCGGTACGCAGAGATGCCGGGAGCGTCGCCATGTTACAGCGGCGCAGAGCCAATTACTTAAACTGGTCCCGCAGAAATAAAAAAAAACTCAATTTCACTAAATATTTACATTTTTCTTCTTAATCAGTATGTTATAACTTATTTAATATTTTTAAACGCACGCATTATATTTTTATAAGATGCCTATATTATATATAACTTGTAGTTTTGGTTTTATTAAGCGTGTTTCGGTTTCGATGGCTTTCAAATTCGGAGTTTACATGAATCCTATTGTCGTCTTTGTCAATACGCGATTCCTTTTTCTTTATGTACACCAGCCTCCATAACGCTCTAAAAATGTTTCCCAAGCAGCGTGACGTGTCTCACGCAATTTGTTTTATGGTCGCGGCACCACGCTCGTGCGTTTCATCTTCGACGTTTTCATTACCACAGGGATGCCAGGGTGAAAGCGCGTAGTAGCTGGAGTAAAAGCAGGCCGTCACTCGATCAAAACATGAAGAAGCAGAAATTCTATCGTTGTGCGTGCTACCTGAGCAGCGACATCCCAGTGCCGGAGCTGGACATGAGGATCAATTACTTCGGACAGCACGCCTTCATGCGCCAGTTCGGTGAGGTACGTTCTTGAAGGGCGTCCGACCGACAGCCAGGTAGAGACACGCAATCTTGTTGCACTGCAAGAGGCTGCAAGCTAGCTGCTTTAGACCTCGACTTTAGATCTTGCAACTCTGCAGTGCACCAAGATAGCCATTGCACTGCAAGGTGGCACCACAGCTTGCAGGATTCTGTGTGCGCGGGCTACCCATTTGAACGGGCTGCTTTTGAGCGCAAAGACGGCATTATTGGGTGCGATGTGTTTTGCGGGTGAGAACGCCTTTTGTTTGGGTACAGTAAGGAACATTGCGTCTCGGTACCTCAGTGTTCACCGACTGTGGTCAGACGCAGCACCATTATGTGCCAAAAGTTTTTCTTTGTCTGACACGTAAGGAGGTTGTTAATTCCTGGCTGTGTTACTTTATCAGTTAATTCGGAAAAAAGTAAATAGCGTCGCTTTCTTACGAACCACTTTTTTTTTTTCCTTTTAGCTAAATGAACACTAGCGCTTCTTCATCGTAAGGCGGAAAAACAGCTTTTTATCTCAATTGGCGGGAAATTCGAGCACGAGTTTTGCTTTGCAGTACGCCATGCCTTGCCGCACATAGCACCTTATCTGCCTCGGGCCCCTTAATTTTTTTTGGAAATGCAACATATCTGCAAAGTAGAGATGCGTTATCAACGGACCAGTGTAATTATAAATCTTGACATCAATCGTGAAGCGTACGAGTCTAATGTAATAGGAAAGACCCCTGGGCACGGTCCGTGTGTACACAAACCTAGCACGTACCTGCTATTACCAATATCATTGCTACATATTAGTAGGTATAGCCATCGCGTATTCCTATATATCACCTGCTCAGTATGTAAAAGTGTACTCTTGCTGAGGGATCTAGAGCTAATTATCGAAATGAGTGCTACTTCTATAGTGTGCGCGCGTGTATGAGTTCTTAAATAATTATGCCCCCCTTTTATATGTATATATATACTGGCTCTTACAGGCATTGAACAGGTTCGGATATACCTCGCGAGAACAGCAAGAAGCCATCATCAAACGGGTAAGCTTTTTGTTCGATCTTTGCCGACTCGAGTGGATCAGGGTTGTGTATATGGCATGAGGTATGCATAGGAGGCCTTGTGGGAATACGTACTCCATCTGTCGCCGTCATCTTGGTACTTAGCAGCTACGTTAATAGTCGTGTTGTAAACGAAAAAGTGAAGCAGTGGTTCTTGTCTAAAGCATGACATTTGAGCGCAGCAATGGCCCCACATTCACGGAAAAACAGTGTTCTTAAAATGCGCGACAAAATGTTAGGCTGATCCAACAACGTTTTTTTCTTGATGAGCAATAATTAGGGTGCAAATATATATGCCTCACTTTGAGCATGAATGCTTATCAGCGCACATGTCCTCGGAACAGCGTATGAAGTCTTGGAAAAACTCTTTTTACCGATATTTTGTTCAAACATTTCGCATATAACATTTTTTCTAAAGAAATAAATAAATAGATAGATAAATAAATAAACAAAATTAATAAATAAAACTGACGGACGCTGCCGTCAACAGCTTGTTGGAAGAAATTAAAAGCGTACATATGTATAGAAATATTGAACGTGGCAAAATAAATTGAAAAAAAAAAAACGGCACTGATTTTTAAAATTGATGCGTCTCTGTGGGATATCTTTATATGCTGAGATTGTTCGTTATGATGTGCTCTAAAAGTGGGAACAGATTATGGAGGTACCGGGGTTCGAACCCGGGGCCTCTCACATGCGAAGCGAGCGCTTTACCACTGAGCTACATCCTTTTTTTTTCTTTATTACCTGTTTTTCTGTACAGGTGTTCACACAGAAACATGAATGATAAAATACACTTGGACCAATATTTGATCCGAAGTGCTCACATTAAAATTTTTTCAGGTTGCACAATTCCTCTAACATTGTTAGCCAGCTGGGAGGTTCTTCTTCTTGTTTATACACCTCAGTGATATACCGCATATTTGCAATGAAGTTCTCCCGGACAGGACGTATGTTCTGGTCAAGATGTCTGTAAGCCATAGTGGTCTGCCAGATGCTGTGAAGGCTAATTAACATAACCATGTCGTATGGTATGCCGTCGTCCTCATCCACACAGAGAAAACGAATGCCATGGCTTGTAATGGGGAGATCTTTTTTCAATGTTCTTTGAAGGATGTCCCAATGAAAGACAGCGTCCCAGCAATGAATAAACACATGGTGTATTGTCTCAGGTGTTTTACAAAGTAAACAATTGGTTGTCCATGGTACATCGATTCCCTTGTCCGCTAGCCACTGCTTTACGGGGAGAGTCCCGGAATGCAATTTAAAAAAGAAAGTTTTTGCCCCTGCTTTTACTTTCATCTTTTTGACCCTTTTCAAAACATCCTGTCCGGGTCCTCCATTGAACATAGATCTGTACAAAGGTGTTGGTAACAAGACATCTCGGAGATCCCTGTACAGATTTTTTCGCTTAACAGTGGCAAGATATTCCAGCGAAAAGCGCACTTTCAAAAAATCAAAAGACTGTATAACTTCTCTCAAAAAACCAGACACATATCGGCACATACCACTGTTTGTAGACACAACAAAATCTGGGATGCGTGATGACAGCCTTACTTTTATCACTGTTTGCAGAAATTTGTTTCTTTGATCGCGAAGGAAAATAAACCGAGAGACAACTTGTCTAATAAATAAATGACATAAACCGAGTCCGCCATTACTAACGGACTGGAATAAATTAGACCGGCTTGTACGTTCCCATGGTGATTTCCACACAAACACAGCAAAAATCCTGTGAAACTTCTGTACATTGACGCGTGACATACAGATAACTTGCATGACATATTCGCACGTGCAACTGTGTGCAACATGTTTTTGATATCTGAGCTACACCCTTTTCTCTTGCTTTATTGCCTGTGTACATACAATATCCACAAACAAATGTACATCAAACAAAGGACAAACATGAACGAAAGAAAAGAGATAAAAGCCTGTTGCGTTTGACGCGCAACAGGCTTTTAAAAATTCCTTCATCTGTAGAAGGCTTTCTACTTGATGAAGCCATTCGGGCACCTCTTGATGAACCTTTTGTGATTCCACGAATGAACAGACAGATTGAAAGAAGTGTTGCCGAACCGGGCGTGCATTAACATCTGAGCTTCACCCACATGACCTCTGCATGGTGAATCGCACAAGTAGCGATGCGGGTAAACCTTATAAATTGGACTTCAAAACGGTATTCCATTGATAGAGGTGCAGGGTTTCGAACCCACGGCCTTCACTGAGCTCCGCCTCATACTTTCTTTTAACTCAGTTACACCCACAGGACGATTGTATGATAAGAATAATCGCGTGTTTGCAAGAAAAAGCAGAAAAATGCAGAAAAAAAGAAAAAAATTGCCCATTAGTGGAGGTGCCGGGGTTCGAACCCGGGGCCTCTCACATGCGAAGCGAGCGCTCTACCACTGAGCTACACCCCCGGACGATTTGGAGGTGAACCAATGGTCAAGGAGTTGTTCGGGTGGTGCATAATTGACATTGTACACCGGAATTAGGGTTAATTTAACGTTGAACACGAATGGAAATCGTCACTAAATGCGATTTCAAACAAGAGTTATACCACAATCACACTGCGTAGCACAGTTTCATCCCTAGCTAGGGAGCGTTACTAGGGATAGTCGGGAAGCCTGGCGTGGGCGTGTGCCATCCGTGGGATAAAGAGCAAAAAATAACATATAAATCGAGAAAAGAGTTATTGCAGGGCTGAACTGAACTAACTATTCAAAATGCACGTAAATGCGTTGTTGCTGTTTTTGTTTGCACAAATAATCGCATGTGCCTGTAGACGACGCGTTTCGCCAGGCGGGATGGATCAATGCGTGAAGAGGGTGAGGGTGAAGAAACACGCCTGGCAGGTTTTGGATTTCTTGTTTGTCTTTTTTTTTTGCGCTTTTTTTTTTTGCGGGGTGGAGAGGTGGGGCGGTGGTTTTTGCGAGCGAATGTTTTAAGCCGCGTAGCAAACGATGACTTCGTCCGGTTGATGACGCCCTTCGGGATGCCGCCGCAGCGTGCTGGGGCATGTTTACGCGAAATATTTATTTCAGAGTGGCCAGCTTCGCTCATAACACAAGGAGTTATGTATATTTTAACGCAAAATGTACCTTCTATAGAGCTTACTCATATATTCATACATAACGCGATACTACAATATAAAAAATGCGAACACAGAAGATGGATGGAGGCGGAAGTGTTGTAGGCCCGTGTGCTCAGATTTGGGTGCACGTTAAAGAACCCCAGGTGGTCGAAATTTCCGGAGCCCTCCACTACGGCGTCTCTCATAATCATATTGTGGTTTTGGGACATTAAACGCCACAAATGAATGAATCAATCAGAAGATAATAAGGAGAATTTCGAAAGCGTATACGGCAGAAAAATTGCGGTAATATTACTGAGCTCTCAACACCTTGCTCAAATGCCTTAACTCAACATGTAAACATTTGATATTGAGACTAAAAGCTACATACTTACAGTCCGTTAGTTTTCATTTATATACTCTGTCTAACAAAGAAAACGATCGCTTAAATTTACACTTCTTTCCTTCAATCATACCCTGCTAAGAGATTTTATGACAAACAGCACTTGGGCGACACTGCTCAAAATTCGGGAGGTTTTCATGTGACCGAAAATTCTTGTTCCCTTCAAAATATTCTATCAATTCACTGCTTTTGCTGCAATCAATGAGCTTTTTTTCGAGTGCGTTTGAGGCAATCGCCAAATTGGTCGAGATGTTTGGCTTCGAATGACCCATATGTGTTCGGAGGGTATATTATATCAGCACAGATATCATCAGCATATGCATATATCGGCCGCTCACGCAAAAAAATCTTCCGCCTCCTTTTCTTCTTCTTCTTCTTGTGGCCATCTACACTAGCTGCGCTTGAATGAACGCGACAGTTCAATTTATTTGTCCTCATAGGCTTTATGTCCCCACTGAACGTATCAACCAACTTAGCCAGAAGTCTACTCTCTTGGAATTGCTTCCAAGTAAATTCAATGCAGTAGGGTGGCGCATCACATTCGTGTAGATAAGATAGAGAGGAGAGGACACTGCATACTGATCGTGCTTTATCACGCAGGTGGAGACGACGGTGTTTTCCCGGATGAACGATGTGAAAGAAGCGCAGCACAGCAGGGAAAAAGACGACCAGGACATGTGCTACATACCTTTTGACGAGGAAGTGTACAAGTTCAAGGTGATATGCGTGGCGCCAGGCGTGCTCTTTTCGCTAACTTTTTTTTTCTTCTTTTAAAATTGATACAACCCGGTCGCATAGCTCTGCGAACAGTTGCCTACTAAACAAAACTTTAGCATAATCATGAATGGCCTTTTCTCCAAGTTAAAAAAAAAAATCACCCATGGTCGCCAAGACTGAACTCAAATGGCAGTTGATTGACCGGGCTGCGGCCCTGAAAGTAATAAGAAATACGAACATATCTTAACTCTGTGAAGAGTTGCTTACTCAGCAGAAGACCCGTTGCTGTATGTGCATCAGATATCGGCCGAACGCCACAGCTGCGCTGAAATTAAAGAGAAAAAAGTGAATAACTAAACAGAATAACAAATAAATAGATAAATGCATAAATGAACAGAAAAGTAGTTAAAAAATCGACAGAGATCTATTGGTCAGGGGACATCGTCGAGAGTGTCACGTGTTCCTCCCTGTCTCAGGAGTCGTGCCTCGACCCAGAGTTCGTGAAGGTGGCCAAGACTGTCGTGTCGCCAGAGTCGCTGCCGTCTTCCTGGGTCATTTCGAAAGGTTAGAAGCCATGCACTTTCGTCGGTCACATGCTCGCGTTATTACTACAGTAACTTTTTTTTTTCTATGCAGGATGATCAAAGTCCAGAAATATGTGCGTGCTACGCGAAACATGACATTGTAATGATCAGTCCGGGCTAACTGACTCAACTAACTTACTGACGGTATAATAACTACCTTAGAGGTTAATGACTAACAGACGTGTTTGAAGGCTGAAAACCTTAAATGCCTCATCAAACGCGGAAACTGACCGTCGGCGTCAACACGATCGAGTGATGCAATAACCACCTCATGGCGTTACTTGCGAAAGACATTGTTACGTCACAGATCTGATCACCCAAATTGGTGACATCATCATGGCGTAACTGTGGTAGGTGGGCTCAGGATTTCCCCTTAAGGGGGGAGGGGGGTGAAAGTTCCTCGCATCCCCCCCCCCTCGCGTTACTGGATCCGTACACGTCGAGGAACGTGCCATGGTGCTCCTCGGCTCAGTTTCACTATTTAACCGACGCTCTACACTCAATAAAAACGGCTGGTATTTTACGCTCGATCTGTTTAGTGTTCTTTATTTGTATTGTCCGTTTCTATTTTAGCAAAAATTTTGCTGCCCAAAACCAGCTTCATTTAAATTATGGTTAAACTATTGCATAGGCTTCGAAGTTGCTTACGCATCATACATAAATGAGGGAAAACGGAATGGGCGGGCGCTGCTTGCCATTCGGAACCAATATATTAACTCTTCTTTCACTACTTCTGAATGGTTTATCAAAAACTGAGAAAGTAAAAAAAGACGATGCGCTAAGTGAAGCTGCAGTGGCGCAGCGAAGAGTTAGCACCCCGGGCCCGTGTATTCTTCTAAATATTTCCCCCGTGGGATATAGAGCACAAAATAACAAGTGACCACACTTACCTGTCTAAGCCCCATGTCGAATAAAAACGCCGCCCCGCCCCCTTTTCCCCCTCCACCCAACAAATTTCTGCCTACGCCACCGATCGAAGCTCATGCAAATTTCTCGGATATCTCACATTGATTAGGAAATTTCACTGCTCGAGCACAAATTTATTTACAGAGCTTCAACATGTCTGCGTGGCTCGTCACTATGGAAAGTGGTCGCGTATAATTTGGCGTTTAATTACCTGCGCAGTGCGCTCAGATGTTCTGTGACGCGCTCATGTGCGCAGAGAAAGAGGTCTACCGGATCCCGCTGTTCACGCCAGAGTTTGCCGACAAGCTCCTGTACGAGTTGGATCACTTCGAAGGCTCCGAGATGCCCAAGATCAGGCCCAACGTCATCAACAATTACGCGGTGAGAACAAGCTCCACGCTACGGTTTTTCGCGGGGCTGTATATTTAGTTTTGCATGGTCAAACGAAAAAAAAAAAATGCAGTACGTGCAGAAACTTGGACTGCGAGGCTGTTTTTGGTCGAGCCTTACACGTCCGGGATCCCTGGTAACGGTGAGGGAGGCATCATAAACGAATGTGCACAACATAAAGCTCACCACTGACCACTGGTTCACTAAATATGAAAACAATACTTAGCCCCCCCCACCCCCCCAAAAAAAAAGTTGTATGTCACAGAAATCTGCGCGGCCTACCAGAGAACAATATATCACGATCATAAACACGTATACGCACCACGAAAATTGGGCAAGTTCATCTGCGCAACCACGGCCGGACTCGACGCTCCTTTCGCACGCTTACGTTTTACGTTTTAAGACCACCACATGTATGATCATGAGAGCGGCGGCTGCATTTTCGATGGAGGCGAAAATGCTGTGGGCCCGTGTGCTATCATTTCGCCGCCATCGAAATGCAACCGCCAGGACCGGAATCGAACCAGCGGCCTTCGGGTCATCAGCCGAGCACCCAATAGGCACTGCTCCACCGAGGCGGCTGTGGCGGCTGCATTTCCGCCTCCGTCGGAAATGCAGCCGCCACAGCCGGTATGTGATCCTGCGACCTGCGGGTTAGCATCCGAGTACCTTAGCCACTAGACCACCATGGCTGGGCCAGTAAATATACCCTAAACTACTGCATGAGAGAAGTTAAATACTGCACGCAACGGGAAATCGCACCGATTCGCCCGTGAACTGCATCGCACTGAGCGGCCTCAAGATGATTAATTAGTCTTTTTTTTTTTTTTGAGCATTGCCTTGTGCACTTGCGCGTGCAGACAGTCCTGAGCGAGGTGGGATTCGACGAGCAGTTCGTGACTCCGTTGCGCGACCAGTACCTGTTTCCGCTGTGCCGAGCACTGTTCCCCCACTGGACGGGCGCCCGCTTCGACTCGCACAACGCCTTCGCCGTGCGTAGCGAGCCGGGCAACGACAGCGGTCTCGAGTTCCACTACGACAACGCCGAGGTGATCAGCAACAGTTACCTTTTTCTTTTTGCTTCACATTACCATGGGGCATGAGTCGTTCTCCTAGGGGGAAAATCGATCATGAAACCTACCGCGTTACAGCTCGTACTTCTTTTAATGTGTCTCTTACCTTGTCTTCCAGCTTCCCGAGTGTATTTATTTGACTCGAAAGTCGTGAATGCATCAACTAGTGCGTAGCCATGTGTCTTTCTGCGACCACGTACGTGTTTAGTGAACGCCTCCTAGATTTCCCGTGCCTGCCGGATTATCGGCGGTCACTTGGGGAGCGGCGGTCGTCGGAACTACGGTGGTGGCGCCACTCAAGTAGGGGTGTCTTCAAATAGGTTTTTTACGTTTTTGGAGCTTATATGCAACAAAAATAACGTAAAAATTTTCAAAAAGTCGTAAACGTAATTATAATTAATTCTACGTAAGTGACGCTGTCATTCAGCAAGCAACTTTTTTAATACAAGGCATCCTCTAAAATTAGTAGAAAACGCCAAAAATTGCCAATCTCAAAGGCCAAGTACAAAGACCCTTACTCCTACGTAGGCAGCGCCTCCATAAATGACCGGCGTTTCGCGCTCATCCGGCAGGCACGGGAAATCTAGGAGGCGTTGGTTTAGTTAATTGTCGGCCGCTGCCCAGGGAAGGTAAACGCGCGAGGGGAAGACATAAAGTTATAAGTGGGCCGATGAGATTGAAAAATTCGTAGGTATAACGCGGCAGCAGAGAGCAGAAGACCGAGTTGATTGGTGGATCATGGGAGATTTCTTTGCCCTGTACTTTGTGTAGTCAGGCTGATGATGAATGTGATGATGGATGCGTACGTGCAGCGAATCCTTCAGTGCATCTATTGATGACCAGTGCTACATGCTATTAGGCGCCCGCTGTACCTATAACCTGATACGTAAGCCAAACAATAACAAAAACATTGTTATGCGATTTGACTATGACGTCTCTTGCCGCAGTGAACGAAGACCTTTTTACAGGTGAGATGGAACGCCTCCTTTTTGTTCTGTGACACGGGTGTTCAAAGGCTGACTTCACAGCCTCGAATTTTTGGCGATGCCCGGGGAGCCTTCTGCGATAAGGCCTGCGCAATTTTTCAACAAAGGTTCCACAGGAGTGGCTAGAATCTCCTCTGGACTGTAGTAAATTTGCGTAACAACCTCCCCCCTCTCAAATGCACTGCCGAGGAAGCGCCGTTCAGTGTACCCCGCACACGCAATAATCCAAAAAGAAGGGCGCTCCCCTCTTCTTCCACTACGCTCGCAACTCTGGAAATTATTCGCGCACAATGTCTGAGAACCGAAGTGAACGAGGGGTCAGTACTGGCAAACGTGGCCGTTGTGCAGGTCACACTGAACGTGTGCCTGGGCCGACGCGGCTTCAGCGGTGGCGAGCTGTACTTCAGCGACATGCGCGAGGAGCCGCTGGACCAGTGCTCGAGCACTATGCTGCAGAAGCAGACGCCCTGCCACGCGTTCCTGCACCGCGGTCAGCAGCTGAGAGGCACCCTGTCCACGCTGAGCGGTGAGAACGTCAACCTGGTCGTGTGGCTGCGCTCGTCGGAGATGCGCAACAGACGCTGTCCCCTCTGCGACCACGTGCCCACCCTGGTGGCTGCCGGCGAAGGATACGGAGATGGATTCACCGCCCGGTGAGATTGTCACTCACTCACTCACTTAAATAACTTGGAACTGTTCGGTCAAGTTAGACAGCCGACTCTAATAGGCTGACGTGTAATGTTAATGTGTGTGCGTACGTGAAGCCATGGCACGTTCAGCATTACGTTTTGCAAATCATCACGCACACACATACACGATATAATGGTCACCTCTCGCCGTCTTCTCTCTTTGTCTTTCTCGCTATTGCCTCCTCTACATAGCAATTTAATGCAAAGCTCGACGTCGCATGATCATAAACAGTTCTACATAGGCGTGAGCACGGAGGAGGGGGGCAGGCGTGCTCCCTTCCCTTTCTCGTGCGCACAAGGAATCTTTGACCTGCTCCTCCACCCACTCCTGAAGGCCGAGAACGCAGTGCACGCTGATGGTTATAGAATAGCGCATACGCAATACTTGGCATCGTCACTGCGCACGGGTTGTACGCAATAATCCCTTGGGTGCGCACACTTATATTTCGAAAGTAGCGTAAGTACACAAGCAACGCTCACTAAAGCTGGACTGCCTAATAAATAAAGGCAGGTTTGCGGGAACGCAGGCATCAGTTCACGCAGCATGCCTTTTAGCGAAGCTCCTTAGGGCGTGGGTGTGCCGCTCCTCCTCCGTATGTATGTATGTATGTATGTATGTATGTATGTATGTATGTATGTATGTATGTATGTATGTATGTATGTATGTATGTATGTATGTATGTATGTATGTATGTATGTATGTATGTATGTATGTATGTATGTATGTATGCATGCATGTATGTATGTATGCATGCATGTATGTATGTATGTATGTATGTATGTATGTATGTATGTATGTATGTATGTATGTATGTATGTATGTATGTATGTATGTAGCCACCGGTAGCACATACCGGCTCTAAAGCGGGTATGGGCTACAGGAGATGCGACATGGGGGTAATAGAAGTGCTCACCAGATGGACGCACGGACGGACGGACGGGCGGATGGACGGATGCGCGGACGTACGGACAGATGGACGCACGGACGGACAGACGAATGGATGAACTCACGGTCTGACGCACGGATAGAGGAACGGACGCATGGACGGACGTGCGGATGGTTTCGTGGACGGACGGAAGCACGGACGAATTGACGGACGCTTCGCCCCACTCATTATCGTTCACTCCGCCGATACGCTGCGATTGTTTTAGAAACATAATGCATAATAGTGTTAAAGTGCTTGCTTAGTATAAATATGCTGAGACATTACCACTATAGTTTCGAGATCTATTAAAAACGTCTCTCAATTCTGGCGTCAGTGTGTATGAGCGTTTCACTATTCCTTATTTCGCAGAAGCGTGCCGTAGGTGATGCGACTGAAGACTGCCCGTCACAGACTTTGTGGGCTTGCTACAAACGAGCATGAACAGTCGTATGGGGCGCTCCTATATACTGCACTCGTTTTATTCGGCGAACAAGGAGAGATTGCTGGCTCTCCGTTACACACATATTATACACGTATGTGACGTACAAGAGCCGCAGGGATAAACAGTTTGTGTCGCCCATGTTTTACAATTCCCGCTTCCCCCTCTCTCTCTTTGCAGTTCCGCGTCGCAGGAGTCGGCTGTGCTGAAGTTCCCAAAGTTTCCCTTGCATCGGCTGACGTCTTCAAGCGAGCAGATGCAACCTATCGACGCTCAAGCCCAGTAATTAAAGAACATGCCTGCTCAGTATTCTGCGTCTCTTTTATACGATGAAGGGATAAAGGAGCGCACAAGGAGCAGTGGGGGGGGGGGGGGTGATTCTTAGATGAAAAGAAGAGAATCCAGAGCTCATCGCACCACTCGGTGTCGCGGTACGACCACTAAGGATCGCGACACCTTTTCACAAATGTACTGAGCTGCAAATTACTACCGAACAAACACGAATCAGACCAAGACGTCGCAAGTGTCAGTCATGTCCCGTTGTAATTCTTGTGTATCGTTAATATAGTTAATCGATGTACAGATACAAGCGTGTTGTGCACCAATATCTGCTACGGGTGATTGGCTAGAAAATGGGTGTATCATACCAATACACGCTATGCAGCCCGGGTCTCAAACACGCGGACCTTTCGCTAGTGGCCAAGCCAGCATGTATGGCTGTCCTCATTTGGTAAATATGTTCATGATCCTTCATTCTTCAATGTACAGTTATCCACACTACAAGGTAACTTGACGGGAAAGCACGACAAAAGTGTTTCTCTAGCAATTGTTTTTTGTTTTCGGCTCAAGAAAAAGAGGCGGCGTATTGTGGTTCAAAGCTCGGGCGCGCTTCTCCCAAATGCGGCATTTCCTCTCCCTCACGCTTCGAGAGAAAGAAAGGTGTGAACGGCGAGAGGAAAAGAATGCCTGCTATCTACGTTTATTGAATCCTGCGGTTAAATCTTCATATCGCACCCCCCCCCTTCCTCATTACCTGCCCAGCCCACTTGCTCAGGTGCACGAGATTAGAACCTGCACTGAAAAGTACAACCCTTTCCATGCTATAGAACGAGTTGCATTGAATTAGAAGAGAGTCGGTAACGATTAATATAAAGCAAGGGAGCCAAAAATTTTTTTACTCAAAAAATATTAATAGCGAAGCAAGCCATATTCAAGTTTTTTTTTAATTTTAGATATGAAACAAAAATATGGGTAGGTAGGCTACATTAGAGCCGGCACGTCGAGTGTCGTGAACTCACCAACTTAAATAATGCATGGGCAGGCCACTCTGTACACGGTACACGCGCAGGAAATCTTTCTAAATGTGGCTGTGTGGTTGGGAGCTAACCGATGTGTCTGTGAGCTTATCGACGCCATGTACAGGGCCAGTGAAAAATGAGAGCATATCCACGGGGTGAATGTTGGAGAGCGGGGCGAAGCTGGTTGCGCACGCCGCTGCCGCTTCGGCCTCCCATTTTCGTACTGCGGGGTCCTCGCGGCGCGCTTCTGCCTCACGCGCCCGCCCGTCGGGGTCCCTTCTTCGTGCCGCCGCCGCCCTGCGCGCACGCCGCTCAGCAGCCTTCTCCATCCTCCGTCGCCGAGCCTCCGAGTGCACGCGCGCGCCTAAACGGCGCCGCCGATTGTTGGGAACACAACAAGCCACGCACATATAGGCAACGGCAAAGTGAGCGTGTTAAATAACGTGAGTGTGAAGTGAGAGACCACATGGCCTCTCCGTGTTACATCTGTGCGCGGCTCTGAATTATGTACTATTGCAGCCGCCGTGAACCAAAGACATGTACAGTCACATTTTACCCGGGACGCCAATCTCACCGTGTATTGTAAACAGAGAGCGACGTAACGGCCCTCCTCCTCGAGGACCCCACCTACATCGGGGCAGTCTGCTCGAGGCTCTGCAACTATGAGCAGCTCAATAAAGTTTGTCTTCCGCCCTCTGATCCTGCGTTGTTGATATACAACACCGATGAACACGCGATCGTACGCGCGCGATCGTCTCTCTCTCCTTCCGTACGTGTGACGTCAATCCTTCTTTTCTACAAGTAACGCCCTCTAGTGCTGTACCATTTGCCTTTTTCAGCGTATAGTGTAAGTACCACCCTCTATGGCCGGTTCAAGAATTGACGAGGGACGGGTATGTGCTACCAGCTGTGGTTACTGCAGAGGACATTCGGGTGACGCCTTAAAGAGCTTTGCCCCTGAAGAAAAATCCCAGGTCACTATTCCATGCATTCCTATGACAGTGCCACATGGGAATTTTGGCCCCTCACTGTACACCCGTCAACATGGGCCCCAAAATATCAGTGACGCACATCTGGCCCCTAACATATAAGAGACACACAGCTTGCGAATCAGTCAACACACTCGCAGGGAGTCCCCTTGTTTCTGCTTCTTCGATTGCAAGGCTATAGCTGCTGCCTCAGTGGTAGCGCTTGATCTGGTGCATATACACGCCCAGGCCACGACATTGTTTCCGTCAGTCACTACCGTTACATATACCTGTTTTCCGGAACCAGTTATGATGAAAAGACTGGCGTACGTTGGTAAAGTAGGTGTCTTGTGATGTAGTCTCCGTGCTCAAGCTTAAAGGCTCTTTTTGTTGTATAGAGCGGGTGCACGTTCTTTCGAACTGGTTCCACTATGATTTGATCCCGCATTTGAGATCTTTTTTTTCAGTGGGGGGGGGGGGGGGGCACCTCCTCGAAATGGTCATTTGTCGCTCTGTGTGCCACGGCGAAAACAATTCGGGGGGAAGGTGACACGGGCCCGATGTGCCGCCCCCTAGCCCCGCCACTGACAGCCGCCTCGCTGCCAAAATACTGAGGGGTGAGAGAGTGCCCCCGCACAAGAAATACTCCAGGGCACATGAACACCAAAGTGCGAGTGTGACTACAATACATTAAAGTGAACGATTAGGGCCACCTCCAGATCTTTTTTTTTTTGTGTGTGCTCTTTCAAAGTTTGTTGTCGAAGAGCACGTTCCTGGCGGAAACGGACCCGCTGACCGAGAACTGTGGGCCCCACCACGGCTGCGACCGTGGTGTTGACCACCGTGAGGACCTCGTCGCCCATCATGATGTCGCCCACCGAGTTGAGGATGCTCAGGTAGAGGAAGCAGGAGATCACTTTCATCAGAAGACCCGGAAGTATCTGCGACGATGTAGACCCCGCATGACCCCGATTCAGTAAAGGCGTGCAATGTGCGCGACTTGTGTTTGCCGCTATGCTGCAAAGTAGTCAAAAATGGGTGAAGCGTCGTCTATAGTGTGTGTTTTCCTCGTCCTCGCCTATATATGTGCGCCGTAGCCTTTCATGATGATACCTACTATCCCACCAAGCCATCCTCGAAAACACCCATCAATGTTCCGAATCTACTGAACCCTCTACTGTATGACATGAAACTTGATTCGCTGCCGAATGAACATTATTAGGTATTGCTGCATATGACCACACTATTCAAGGCAATTATTTAAATTGACCTTTATGTGCACTCAATGCAGAGCTTCAGCTCTCACTTAAAAAATAACCATGACTGACTCAAATAAAATACTGCAGGACGTAATTGTAGGGTACTTTAAGTATCCCGATTGTCAAACCTATATTTCGACAAGGTGTCGAAATACACTTAGTATACAGCGCCTTGGGTAAAAACTTGCCGATTGTTCTTAATAATTATGAAGTGAAAGGAGTGTTTGTTGCTGTTTTAAAATCGGTACAGATAAACGCAAAGAAGAAAGATTCAACTTTTAGGCAGCCTATAGAAAGAGGAGACCTAGAATTGATAAAGAGAACACAGGGATCCAAGCGCAAGTCTATGTCAGTGCCTGTGCGATAACGTGGGGGTTTTTGTGACGTTTGTGACGGAGGTGTTTATTATTGTAAAAATATCAAGAAGCACGTGACCATGGACTGAGCGTTAAATACGCGCCATCAGCACTGTCCCAACCGGACAATGGAAAGCGTCATTCCTGAAAATGCCTTTTGAACATCCTTATACAGTCCAAGAATCACAACTGCTGACCTACCTCCAAACTCTTACCCGACCCCACACCTCCGCTTCCCAAAGCACATACCATACTTCTCATTCTTTCATTGTTTGCGGGGTGTTTACTTGCAAGCCGTTAAGGGATGTCGTAGTCGTATGCACACATAACGTGTATATTGACCTACCATGGCATGCGACGCGATCACGTTCGTTCAGCGTTGCTTAACTAAGCATGCACACGTACACATACCATCTCTAACGCAGTGACGTAGGAGATCTCGAAGATGATGGCGTTCCTCGCTCCCGAGGACGGCATCATGTAGTTCAACTCGGACGCCGCCGACACCGGTAGCATCAGCCTTAACGGGTGCATGTCCGTCAGCTGGCTCTGCAACACACCCGGATTGTGAGATCATCGTGGCATCTGGGAATTCACGCTTCAATCACATAAGCTGCGAATGCGGTGCTATACATGCTTCAGCAGTACACTGCATGGTTTTGTATATCGGCAAGTTGACGTACCACGTTGCCCGCGATGTAGTAGAGCTCGGGCAGTCGGTCCTTGACGGTGGTGATCTCGGAGGCGATGGCCGTTAGGAAGAGGAAGAAGAGCTCAGCCCATACCGTGTTCGCCGACAGATGCCGCGACCAGTCCATCAGGGCTCTGAACGCGCCGCACTCCTGCGCAAGTTTGTGCACCACCATGCTCAGGTTGCGCCTTGATATGAGCTGAATGTGTTATGTTCAAACGCGGAAATTCTCATACAAGAGATGGGGCACAGCCGTCAATCGGCAGATATACAAAACGACAGAAGCAGCAGTACAGCAATGTTGTTTTCTGAGAACATGTAGCCCTGAAGATTCAATTTTCTCGCCAAGCCGATAACGCTCGCGTGACCTGTGTAATGGAGGAAACAGAAGAGGAAAGACAGCAATAATAATAATATATCTCGTTTCACGTGCCAAAACTACGTTATGATTATCAAGCACGCCATAGTGGAGGGCTCCGGAAATTTCGACCATGTGGGGCTAGGGGCCTCTGGCGAGCGCCTTCGCCGTGGCCGGGATCAAACGCACGGCATTTCATGTCAACCGAAGAGCACCGTAACAATTGTATACCAATGAGACGGACGTAAAATGCGATGACTGCCTATAACATACGCCGTATAACATAAGCGTGACGAGGTCCTTGACAGTGCTTTGGCAAAAAGGTTGACAAACGTCAGTGACGACTGAAATTCAGAGCCTGTCGGTCGATGAGGTATCA